ATTTACCTAGTGCAGGTGCTCTGAATACTCAATGTATTGAGTTTACTCAAATTACTCAAAGTGTCAAGTGCAGTACGTGAATACAAAATAAAGGTAGCCTGAATTTGCTATGGCTAAGAAGTCTGAGTTTCCCAAAATCAGGGACTCCAGAAAACCGGAGTTCCATTTATATGTAGGTGGGAACATCCATGGACCAGGTAAAGCCTTGCTGCATTGGTCTGCATTGGTAAATTTCCACTGAACTAACGAGGAACAGGCTGTTTGTCACTAGAGGCATGAACAATGTCTTTCTGCTGTTTACAGACTAAATGGACTGATTTTTTAAAAACCATTCCTCTTTGCTGGACCCCCTCACCACCCAGTATTCTACCTGTGGAAATGTAGGCATTACATTTGAGGAAGGGTTAGGTATGAATGGGTTGACAATAAGCAAAGGAATAAACAGAACTGACAGCCTGAGCTCTCTTTTGTGAGACATACGCAACAACTGTCTCAGCATAGGTTTCCAGTTCTAAAAAGATGCTATGTTGCTAAAGAAAAAAAAGGAAAAACTTTGGAGAGAAAGCAAACACTTTGGATAGAGAAGAATGGAGAAGTTATCCCAGACCACAATTGCTATTCAGAATGACATATGTGAGCCTAAAGTGAGAAAACTTACTTAAAGAACTGGTGACCTCCCCACTTCTATTGCAACATACAATTTTAAAAATTGTTTAAAAATATAGTTCATAGAATCTAAAGCAAAGTAATCAGTATGTGTATGGTTATTTTTCTGGAGTAATAAATAAGAAAACTGAGTATATAACAGACTCTATTTGCTACGGAATTCCTTTTCCAGTGCAAGTATAGTATTATCAATATTAATCACATAGATGACTTGTTGCAGGAGCAAGTACTCGCAGATATGAATTCTCTAAGACATCAGAGAGTATTACACTTCAACTGCATTTCCAGAAATACTTTGCTTATCCTTGCCAATGATGACAAAAAGTGATATGCTTGAGAAAAATGTATTATGTAATAAAACCAATAACATTTAATCTCAGTTTTAGCATCTAATCATTATGCTGTATCCAACACTGCAATACCAGAAACACTCCTTTTTAAAAAAAAAGTCATTAAAAGCAACAGGTAAATAACAGCACAGCTGTTTTCTTTCATAAACATATTTAGAAACTAGGCCTCGTAATGTTATTTTTGAAATTGCCACATTCACCAAGCACCTTAAGTTATTAATAGCTTGTCTGCCGCTGGCATGAAAAAACATCTTGTTGAATTAAAGCGATCCTTGTATTCTTAGACTGCAAAGCTATAAATGTTAGAGGGGAAAAATTAAGCAACAACAAAAAAGTACACAAAAGAGAATAGATTAATTCTGACGCAGTCCCTATGAAGTTATCACGTTAAAGAATATACTTAAAGCATAGACCCAACGATATATGATTTTGACACAGAACATGCATTTTTTGTAGGGTTTTTGCATGGTTCTCTGCAAAACTGGGAGAAATTGCAGGACATGTATATACAGGAATCTGGATTCCGTGTCAGGGACTTAAGTACCTAAAAGCCAGGCATTATCTCACCTAGCTCCTCTGCTAGCTCAGACATCAGGGCCAGATTGAGATGACCTCATTCAAAATGACACTAACTTCCAGAGGAGTAATGGAGTTTCTCTAACTTGGTGGGATGATGTGTGGTGGGGCATTAACATTTGTGAGGCACCGACAGGCTCAGGGCGCCATAAAAAGGTGCTTAGCTTTCTAAGCAAGCACAAGTGGCAGGCAGACCATTGTTAAAGTGCTGATTCTTTCATGTGTTACAGTGCAAAACAGTAAAAACGGAACATTATTTAAATTAATAAAAAAATGCACCACAGACACCGTATCACTAAGAAAGCCAGTAACTTTACTGATTTGTCTGCAAAATACAAATTATACCTTATTTCCAGCAGGAGAATCTTTTGAAATTTTCCCATTTTTGTTCACTACAGACAGCTGAATTAAGTCCCTTGAGATACACAGATGTGGTTTAACTTAGTTATAACATCTTGTCATCTAGTGGCGACAAAGTCCAGCTTATGCCGCTGTGAGCCTCTACTTTAATATTTGTTGCAAATGCTTGTATGCTCCCATTTACAAGCTATTTTGTTATCACCATTGTTTAATGGAAGCAAATCCCCATGAAAGAGAAGAAAAAAAGAAAAAAAGGATACAACAAACCATCTGAAGCAATCCAAGTGTAATGCCTGCGGTAACCCAGGTCTGATATTAGTTACTCCACACAAGACTCTGGTACTGCATTTTTTATTTTTTTTAAAATGAGTTACTTAACTGACCTTTTTTGAATCAAACTGAGGTACGGATCAGTCTGAGGTATGAGCAGGGAAGGTAGAAATGCAACACCTGATTATGAAAATAATCAAACAGATAGTTTTGATGCAGAAGGTCTGTGGCTCAAAGCTTGGATTGCTCCACATCTTTGGTTAAAATATATTAACAAAAGCCTTTTATTACATCTACAGTCTGAAGCATTCTAACAGACACCAATGTTCCATCAGTCCTTCAAGAGACCTGTAGTGGCAGGAAATTAATGCCATATAACTGACGACATCACAGCAGATGGCACAAACAGGAACAGATGAAGTATGCCATGTTTAGGCAACAGCCTTTATTGAGGTTTCAAGTGGCTTTTAAAAAATTACAAAGCATTTACCTTCAAGGCGAAGGAAAGAGGAAAACAAAACAGCTCTGTTAGGACTATAGATAAAAGAGGGTATATAGGATAACACATACAATACAAAAGGGTTGACATCCTTGAAAACAGTCTATGAGTTCTTTTAATTCTTACGCTAGCTTTACCTGAAAAAGATCTGAGGACAACAGATATTTTTATATTATTCATTAAAAACTGCTAAATTCCTCTTCTGGGAAAAATATAAGCCATTTTGTTATAAAACACAACTTTTGAAAAACACTGAAATGACAAAAGCTTTACTGCGAATGGCTCAATGCATACAATATACAGGTTGTGCAGATAGGGTATATCATATAATTGTCACCAGCAATTAAACACTAACTGACAACACCTTTTAATAGAGGTTAGCTTAGCTATAACAATACTTGCAGATGTCTAGAATGCCACTTCAGGTGTTTGAACTTACAATTAAGAATGTTGCCTAAAACATTATATAGCATGGGTTAAGGTAAAGTAAATGTTAATACTCTTTCAGGGCTCTGCCCCAAACTCCTTAAATACAAAGGAATCACACAATAAACCCAAATTAGCTTTGCAAATACAATAAATGGTAAGGTACAGATAAAGGAACAAGAAAGGTAGACAGTTATAGTTTACAGAAAGTGACTTCACAATCAAAGTTGTGCTTCTTATCATTAGATCAGTTTGCAAATATGCATTATCCCCCACAATTTTGCCAGTATAAGTTAGTTGCCCTCTGCAGCAGGAACAAGAGGGATAACTGGCATTTATTTTCACGTGATTCTGTTCTACTTGTGTTTATACAAAAATCACTGTCAGAGTTAATATAAATTGCCCAGGCAATACTTTTCACGCTACTTTCTGCTTAGTTACTTGCAGTAATATATTACACTGCATCTTCGTTAAATACGATATCTTTCCTTTTTCATGCGTTGCTGAGGCAAATCGCAAGGTAAACTATTAATATGGCTATTCTTCATATATCAATAGACCAAATCCCCTTCCCCACTGACAAGTTTCTACTACAATACTGATAAAGTTGTATTTTTTCTTGAAATGACAAGGTACATTTGTGATATATTTGCATATTTTTGACACACCAAAGTTTAAAATTCTCAGAAGAGAATACGAGTATAGGTTCATCTGAAGGTGAAGAAAGTGGTTTCAAAAACAGTTTTTTTTGTGTTTTAAAATTAATTATGGGCCCCATTTTACCTTTTTTTTTGTTTTGTTTTCATTTTTTGGTTTTTTTTGGTTTTTTTTTGTTTTTTTTTTTTTAAACATGCGTATCTTTTTATTTACCCTGCAGATTGCTACACAAGATAAGATGGATGCATTAGTAGCACAGTATTCTGCTTAAAGAGTTTCCAGATTATGCACTAGCCCCTGCACGGCTGAGAGTGCCTGTAAGGCAAGCTTCTATAAAGTCATGATAAGTGAAAAGCGTATGTTCTAATGCACGCCGTAGTCTGTTCATCATTCTCTACTACAGAGAGGTACACTCTATCACTGAGCAGTGCACAGCAACTGCATGTATAGGTGGGAAATGGAGTGTGGATTTCCCTTAACAAAATATTCTGTGTTGATATTTAGCTGTCACAGCTATAGCCTTCATCATAGTGTCAATGTATGTAGGTGAGAGTTGGAAGGACTCTTGGAAAGAGGAGAAATATTACAGTTTTACTATGGCACTAACATTTTGCTTAAACAGTTTTTCCCTTCAGCAGAAAGGTTAAACTGAAACATTTGACTATACCATTTTCTTCTAATAAACAAAAGGGACAAAGAGGGACTTAAAGAAACGATACACTCCCTCAGGTCAAGCTAATTTAGTCAAAGGAACAATACGAGGCAGGAGAAAATGTGGATGCCATATGCTGAAGCAAATCTTGCTGGGGTGCAAATACACAGGGAGCGTTGTTCAACAACCTGCCCACTGTGAGATGACGTGACCGCAGAGGTCCATGAGAACCAGGGACCTGGTGGCCAGTATTGGCTGTGTAAGATCAATCGACTTTTGAATGGTCCTTTAACTGATGATCTCTCTAGGGGTTTTACATCTGTGAGAGAGGGGAGTAATCTTTATCATAGGCATGTTCGTGCCGATCCCTCCCTTTAACTCTCCCTACCGCTTCCGCAAATATTCACCTGCACTCACGTAACTGACAGCCGTTAGAGCTGTACATCCAATTCCGACAGGCAGAATACCAGCTTCATTAATGAGAAAGGGCCAAGTTATGCCACTTTGTCATTTAACCCATGGAAAACTACAAGATACGCAGGACGTTAAGTAATAGAAGGGCCCTTAACTTGTTACAATGCACAAAACAGCATGAAAGAACTAATCAGTATATACAATGGATCGCAGTTCACCCAACTGATTGTAAAATGCTGTATTAAAATGATTTAAGTTGTTACACCATGGGTAAATTCTAACTTTTTACAGATCAGTCTTTCAACAGCTGACTTCGATCTGTAAAATGTATACCCAGTAAAAGAAAACCAAAAGAAAATAGTTAAATGTGCAACTGCACAAATATAATTCCCCACTATTAAGATAACAAAAACTTTTGCTATTACCATAATTATTATATATATTAGAAAGCTATACACAAGCATGTTAATTTCACAGATTTTTTTAAAAGATTCTTAATATTTTATATAATTAGAAATACACATTTCAAAAACAAAACTTCTGCAAAGAGAAAACAGTTATCTTGGTTAGCAAAGCATGGAGTTCTTCATGGCTTAGGGTAGTGCTTTCTATACAAAAAGTCCTTTTTGTTTGTTTCTTCAGGACTGTTTAAAAGATTAGCGAAGCTATCAAGGAAAAAAGAACACATTTTGGCTTAAGGAAACTACAAAAGCCACAAATGCTTTGCAAACTCTGTCTTACTTTTTAATATGAAAATAAGCAAAATGTAATGTACATATTTTTATATTTTTTTTTATTTAATAAGTGATGCAGACCCAGAATTTTTAAAATTAAATATGTTAGCCCTCGAACTCAACATTTTTACAAGTATGGTCCTCTTTAAATGTTTTGATCCTTTTTAACTGAGTGCCATACTCTAATGATATGCCTGCATGTTTGTGAGCATTTTCGGTATGTTAGGTGACCCAGTCTCTTTCTAGCATCAATTCATGGCCACCCAACCGCTGGGTCTGTCAAAACATCTGTACATTTTCTATATGTTGCATAACAGCTGCTTTCTCTCTCAGTAAAGATCTGCCATTTCTGGCAAATGTTTTCCTTTTGTCTATTTACATGTAAATAACGTTGAACCTGCAACATGACACTATCTATTGTAACATACATTTTGCAAGGGAGCACAACAGTGAAAAGAAGTTAGCCTTAAAATCTATTTTGTACAAGTGTTCTGTTGTACAACTCAAGTGCTAAGCTTATCTCAGCATTTGTTTATCCTTATATTGTATCACTGAGGCAATTTAAAAGTACTTTTACAAAACAGAGTACCTGACTTTTTTTTTTTCCACACACAGCACATATAATGCATATCGACCCCCCCTCCCCCATTAAGGTATAGCACACACACACTGCAAGAAAAAAAACTAATAGGTAATAATGTTATCATGTTGCCCATCCTTCAGAGAGCCGCATGCGCTTGACAGAGGGGCTTTCCCTTTCGTCCGGCGAAGGTCTGGTGAGTCCAATGGGGGAGTGGAATTCGTTCCGGTGATCTTCTCGGTCACTTCCATCGTAGGAACTGCTACAGCTGCTCAAACTGTCAACAGGAGATCTCCCCGCCTCATGGCGCGTGTGCTGTGGGTATCTCGAGGGTGTGGTGGTACGGTCTCTAGGAGGAGAAACAGGTTCTGACTTGATGTTGAGGCTTTGAGTAGAAGGCAGGGAGAGATTTGTACTCTGAGATAAATGAGTGCTAGTGCAAGCTCTGTAGGAGGAAAGGAAACCCAGTTACAGACGGAGGAGGCATGGAGCCCCCAGATATGCACAAACACTCACACAGAACACCAGTGTAAAGGCTCGCGCAGGGCCAGCGCACGCAGAGAGCACGAGGGCTGTTTTCTGGGCAGAATTCACAAATTCAAAGATGTGAAAGCATCGCAACAAACATGGTCGGCTTGAGCGGGACGTGCCCTCGGTTTGAAAGGAGGTCTCGCTTTCAATCTCTCTCTCCTTTTTCTGACTCAAGTGTCACAACAAATTTTGGAAGGCGAGCCTTTGCACTGTTGGAACCACCTGCAGGTTTCTTTATAACTAATGCTTGTGTGTGTGTATGCACTGGCTGAGATAGGGGAGGCACGGACTTTCTGCTGGCATTAATCCGATTAGTTTGAATGCACCCAACTATTTTTATCGCAGTTCATGCGACTTCAGATGCAAAACAGAAACAAAAATTTGGGCCAGGTAAATATACTTTTCAGAATAGAGTTGACATTACTGGTTTTAGGATTGACATTAATAAAATACAACAGGCAGGCAAGGATTTAGATATGATTTTATGGTTTAAATCTATGAATCCATAACTTCAGAATGCTTTTGAACAAACTACCAAAGAGAAGCTGAAGAGTAGTGGAAGATATCAGGGGATTGTACTGTTTGCCTATAGGAGATCCCAGCTCAGTGGATGCTCCTAGCATCGAGAGAAACTGCTAAGCTAAAACTTTTTCAAAGGCAAGCTATATAACTATTCTAAGCTCATTTTCTTTCTGTGCATTTTTGTGGGCAGGTAGTGGCAGAGGAAAGCTGAAACAGGGAGGGAGGAGAGTGAATACTGAGAATGTGCTTTATCTCTATGGGAGAAATGAGATCACTTGCATCTGCAGGATGTTTTGTACAAAAGCACCACCTCCTGGTAAAACCTGACTTTTCTCTTCGCTGTTAAAATAGAGTTCTCAACATGCAGTTCCATTATGTTCCACTTCAGGGACCATTTGCTAGGCTGAAGTTAGTGTCTAACCCCAGAGACACAGTTTCAAGGTTTCTCCTCCTGGGTATTTATATAGGGGGAGATGGAAGGCAGTAGGGGCAACAGACCACTTGGCCTCGTAAGATTTTAAACCCAAAGGCATGTGCAGGCTTTTTTACTGCAAGCAGAAGAAATATTGGGATTTACAAGTAATTTCTAAGCATGTAGAAGAAACAATTAAGTTTAGATGTGGTCTTTTCACTTATTGAAATATTCCACTTTTCCTGATATCTCATCAACTGGGAGTTCAGCTTTACTTAAGCAACATCTACTACAACTTCGATGAAAGACAAAATGTTTTCTTCTGGGAGATTTAAATGGAACTATATGGCTTCAATATTGAATGATATCAGCTGCTTTTATCAGGAATTATTGCAGTCTTTAATAATGGATGGATCTTGTTGGAAAACAGAGAAAACAGGATGTTCTACCTCCAATTGCTTTTATCTACCCTTCATCCTACACAGCGGAATGTGCCAAATTTGCAGCGATCCCTTTCATAAGTCACAGAGTTCGTGAGTAATAGCCCTCACAGTAGCAAATGTAGGCTTTTTTTTTTTTTTTTTGGCAAAGAGGACATTTTCTTTGCTTTTGTAACTATTAAATTAACACATGTAAGAAACTGTAAATATCAGACTTTGTCATTCCAATTTAGTGAAATATTCCACTCTTTTCCTGAAAAGAATCCAACAAGAATCAAAAATACATTCCTGTTGGTTTTTTTTTTTTTTTGCTTTTCATTTCCAGTGACTTTATTTTTCAGTTGCTTAGGAGATACTAGGACTTCACCTGGGAAAACAGGCTGCCAGTTTAGCATGTATGATAAGATTACATATGATTTTAGATGCCACGCTTATAGATAAATCTGAAGGTGGAGCCTGGAGATTTGATTTAGAAGTGTTTGATATGAGCAGATGACATGTCACTTTGCAAAGCTGGGGATAGCTAAAAAACCCATGCTAGTTAAAAACAACCATATTCTGTCAGATTTGTTCACATGGAACATACTTGCATTCTATTGTGTGACAGCCCCCAAAGGAACAAATCTAGAGGGATAAGCTACATTTTCAATGAAATAGAGCTAGTATTGCTATACTGCAATGTTGCTTTTTTAATAGTGTTTCAGAAGCAAATATGAGAATGCATCTGCATAGACTTTTCTTTAGATTCCTTGTGATTCATCAGCAGGGTTATGTAAACACCTGGCATATAAATTTGTGGCGGTTTTAAAAATGCTATAGGTTGATTGCATTTTGAACACTTTTTTGTAAATTGAAAAAAGATTAAGAAGTAATTTTGGCAGGTCAGGACTAAATTTTTGAGGTTTAAAAAAATATAAATAAATTAAAGCAATTATTTTGAGTCATCATTCAATTTTTTTTTTTTCTTTTTAAATACAGTCTTTTTCTGCTAAAACTATTTCTGAATTTTAATATCTGTTTTTTGGTGACTAGAATTTACATTATTTCATTAAAATTTTCTGAAACATTTTAACGAGAATCTTATGTAAAATAAAATGATCAATTACAAAGGAAACCTAGTGTTACACACAGATGGTGAACAGTGAAATAGTACATACTTAGGTGCAGTCTTTAGACCTGTATTCTAAACACAGAATTGACCTCTAGAATAGAAGCTGTATTATAAAAAATGAGAATTCTCTCTGCTACAAAATGGTTTATTTTCATGTATGTGTGTGTGTGAGTGTAGAAACAGCTATTTGTATCTATGAGTATCAATGTATATTTTACACTGTTGTTTCATATAATTATGTAATTTTGGTCCTATTTTCATCATTTGAAACCTACACTAAGTTCACTGGAAAAAAACAGGTTTTTAATACGGAAACCACAGAGGAAATAAAGCAAATTACTTCAAAGGATTGTGTATAATTATAAGCACTCAATAAGTGCCATGCAGTCCACTCATGTTGACGTAATCACCTTTTTCCATATAGTGTATGAAAACATTCCATTTTATCATTACAATGAAGAAAATTGATGTTTTAACAGCAGTTCCTATTAAACCAGTATAGTGATGTTTATTTAGAATACAAGAATCACATGGGAGAAATGCTGGTTCCTATCTGGGTTCAACACTGAACAGCTACACAGCTCTGCTGTGTAAGAGGTGGGAAGCAAGTCAGGATGCAATGAGCTTGCAAGTGAATTTAGTCCTTGCTGATGCCAGTGAGATCGGTTCTGTGTGTGTCTCCATCTATTCAAGTCTCCAACCAGTATGGAAGCTCAGCATGCACAGTTAGAAGTGCAGATCTGAGTAGGTGATGAGTGAGGACACGAACGTGCACCAGATACAGGTGTTTACAGATGGAGAAAGCGGTCTATTGAAGGAAGAAAAAGCCTCACAAACCTTTTCTTTTATTAGTTTACTTCCACACTTCATATAATTTTCCCCCATAAATATATATAAGGAACCACTGAAAATTCACTGCAAAATTTAGTTATGTAACTTTAGTTATGTGCCAGTCTGTTACTAGGAGAATAGAGGATATTTTTGACTTGCTAGCAATGCAACCTTCCTCCCCTCCCTCTTTTTTTCTTTTAGGTAAAAGCAAAGTTGCTTTTTTATATTTTTTGATAAATGTAAAAGCAGAATAAAAATTTCTGTGTCAAGATATTTTGATTAGCTCTCATATGTTAAGGTCTACCCTTTAAAAAGCAATTTCTAAATGAAGAATAATATGAAACTGAATCACTGGAACATCTTATTTACAATGGTGGCATAAGAAAAAGGCTCAATCCTAAATATATAAGGTTTTTATTCAAAACAAGGAAGTTGTTAGAACTGATACAAATTCACAAAACATGATGTCACTGCATCTAAATTTTTCAGTAAAAATGATTCAATGGAGAATATTTGCCCATATGGCTATTACCTAATCAAAATTAATCATTGCTAAGTAATAAGCTTGCTATGTAAGAGTCACAGAACAAGTCAACAGTATGCATGAATTTGGACAATCTTTTGTTCAGGTGGGTAGAAGTTTGGAGAAACTTCTTTTACATAAACATTTATCTATACTGAAGATTCTTCAAATGAAATACTGTTTTTATGCTTGCACTTACACTGTAGGAAAGCCAAAATTTCACCTGTGGATGATACTTAAGGTAAGGAAGAAAAGATTCTCTCTTAGACTTGGAAATATGGATGAAAGAGAACATTTTCCATATAATAGACTTGTGCCTAAAAAATTTAGATCATTTATTTCAAAGTTTGGAATGGAATTCCCTTCTGGCTAGCAGCAATTAACTTCTGGTAGACTTTTTGGTCCATGTTAAATAAGCAGTAACCCTCTCTGTAAGATACATTGCAGCAATATTCAGAAAAAATCCAACAATTTTGGGAGGGATTGATTTTCAATAGAATTTGTGTGTATTTTTTCCAGATGTAGACCTAGTTAGAAGACCATGAAAGTACTATTTTGCTTTTTAACCTAAAAAGTTGAAAAGTCTGACTTGTTTTAATGTCCCAATCATATCAAAACATGCTCTACGTTGTTATCCTATTCACCAGGCTCAGCAAAAGGCCAAAAGCTGTGCAGACAGGGAAAGTGAACTACTCCCATGTCCTCAGGTATTTGCCCTCAAGCCCACTGGCACTAGTATGGTTGCTAATTGCAGAGCCAACATGAAGAGTTAAGAGTTAGATTGTAGAGATCTTCTTCAATTATCTTAGAGATGGTTCTGACAGTGCTGCTGAAATTGTTGGGGACTTATCTGGAGCAAGCTAATACGTCTAACCATATCTTATTCTATTACTAACCATATTCTGCCATGCACAAAGGAAGCAGAGCTGTTTTGCATGTTTAGGCTTCGGTGAAAAACAAAACCTGCTGGAGAACTAGGATATCTCTTCCAGTAACTGTTTTCTCACAGGTCTTTACAGCCTACTGTTACCAACAAACATCTCACTGTTGCCAAATCTTTCCAGCATATGACCTCACTCAGCACAGGGATTTGGGTTGTCAAATCCTTTCTAGATCTATTTTCTCAAATACCTGGGGATGACTATAATTTTGTGTGATTGTTTTAATCTTCCTGCAAATTCTAGCTCAGGTTGACTTGGACTGAATATGTTCTGTATAATTTAAAGTTTTTAAAATAATCCAAAAGTTAGCACAGGTGCTTTTGCACATAGAACTCAGTGATTAAAATAATATAAAGAAATGCTTATGATTTTCTGCAGATAGAAGACTTCTCCAGAACTGTCAGAGAAGAAGCTTTCATAGCTGAATTCTTTTACAAATCACTGAAAGAATAATAATAAAAGTAGCAACTCAGAATGTATTCCACCAGCCACAGCCATTACACTTTGACATTCTGTGATATGAATTAGAAACAGATGACGATGTGTGACATATCTGAAAAGGCATGTAGTTAGTTTAGGATTTAATTTATACTTTTTTGGTTAACCAAATAGCCTTGTTACATTCTTTGGTACACCACTGAAAACAATCAGCTTATTGTAAGGTTATACATTGATATCTAACATGTGAGTTTTCAACTTATTTGAGACTTTATGTCTTTACTTATACAGTTAGCCTGAATGTTGCCCCAGAAACAGTGCAAACTCAAAAAGAAAATAGAAGAAGCGTAAGAGATAGGTATTAAGACTATTTTTTCTAGCACAGCAACTATTTCAGTTGTATGGTTTTATGTAGTTAGTATCTATATATGCTTATTTATATAGAAATGAGGTTTAAAAAATTTTTGTTTCCTCTGAAACACTTGTATAGCTGTCCTTTAAAAAGCCAAACCGTCTGTACATGGTAAAGAAATTATAGTAAGTTACAAAAAGTGGTCAGATAAATTAGAAGGAGAATTTTGAATTTTAAGCCACATTTATAGTATTAAATAGTTTCAAACTATGGCAACCATCTTGCAAAAAAATTAGCACATATGTGCAACACCTCTTTTGTTTACTTTTCAAATGCATGTGAAATAAATTTCTCCTCATAAATACACTCCAGCTGTTTTCGGCTTCTATTTTTATAATGAAAACTTTTAAAATTCAAACATGTCTAGCCATACCTTGGGCTACTTGTGGCGTGCTGGTGAATGCCTACAGTCTTACTCAATAGAAACTGCAGATACCAGATTTTTGAAAATCATACTCTTAAAGTTCACTTCAATGAGCCAATAGCTTTTTCAGGAACGCATTAGGTGACTTCCCTGTGTGAATTTTCACACTTTTAAAAATCCTGAAATGATTTAGCAGTGTGTTTCACCAATCTTGAATAAATGTCTGGAAATTAGCCACTAGAGGGCACGAATACCTATCCTCCTCAACACAGGAAAATCACAATGAGTTTTGTGGGCTTACAGTTCTTAGGCCTAATTATGTTATTTGCTCGTAGAAAACATTTCCAAAGAAATGAAACTTGAATGTCAGAGCTGAGCAGAAAGGAGTCTGTGATTATTATATAAGGTGAAGGCTTAATCTCAGGTCAAATCATTATGTCACTCTTACTTGATTAAAAATATTTAGAGAATTTTCAAGTTTACTGTAAATGTTTGTGCTATAGTAACTGGAAATCAAAAGCATAAATGGCAAAATACAGCAACAGCACAATATAAGTGTTTAGTTTGGTCTTTAGTAGTGAAATAAAATGCTATTTAAAGAAACAAGGAGTAAAACATGAACAGTAGTTTTTACTACACTACGGAGAAAATGTCACAGACACAGAATATTTCATTGTAGCTACCTAGCAAACTTTTCATGAAATACATAGTTCCAGTTTTGGGAAATGGAGCTCTTACACATAATAAATATGTGCTGATATGTTGTCTTGATCTATTTCAGATTTGGGATTACTGGGGAGACTGAAGTCGCTGTAGAACAATAAAATAAAGAAAACACTGCTTACCCCAATTGACTGAGGGCAGATGGTGGCATGTTATGTAGGTGTTGCTGTTGCCAGCCAGTCACAGAACCAAGATGAAGAGCACTGGCTGTATTAAACCCAGAGAGAGATGATATATCTGCACTACTCAGAGAATATTCTAGATTTGAAAACAGAAAAGACAGCAATTAGAAGAGAATTAAAGAGGAAGCAATTAAACAATAACTAGCATCGTAATTTTCACATGTCACTTCATAAGCCTTTTAATTTTAATTACACCAATCACATTAAGTTGCAGCAGAAAAAGTAGACCTTCCTCTTCCCTCAACTCATTAGCTTGGGAGCAAATAATGCATTAATAATTATTCTGTAATTTAGCAGGGCTTTTCTGGATCTGGAAGATCCAAAGCATTCTTAGCCTGTATATCCACCATAACTATAGACGCATTCTCACGGAATCAAAGACTTGAAAAACATAATAATATTTTGGTTGCAGTCTTTCTTGCAGGCAGCCTGTGTCTGAACAATGCATGTCTTCTCTAAGAGCACGGGCTCTGCACGCCAGCATGCTCTATACAGCAGCAATGTGCAATGGGAACTGGAAAGGATCTCCTGAGGCTTCATTTCTAGTCTCTCCCAGGTAACTATGTGATAGCCCACAAAGTTATTGAACTCCACTTTGAAGCCAGTGAAGCTGCTTGCTCCCACAACCCTTATGACTTTAGGAAGGTGCATTCAACTATATGAAATTACCTGTGGTATTAAAAGGACTAAGAAATGTCTTTTAAGTTACATTTCTTATTAAAGCCAATCAGGGAAAGCTATCAAAGCAGTTTTCCATTCGAACAAAATAGCTAACTTTTAAATAGATATGTTTCAAGTTAGTTACAGATATAAAATAACTAAATACAGAGCAAAAGCATATCAGCTATGAATTTTTCAGTTTCTCCCAACGAACATTAGCTAATTCATTAGTACCAAGATAGACATTTGTCAGCATCTTGCTCCCTCCCCCACCCTTCACATCTTGCACCCATACTTACCAGTACCATATGTTGTTGAGATGGCTGATGGGTATCCTCCCATCCCTTGCCCTGGTAGAGTAGGAGTTGCTACGGAAACCACTGGAGTAGCCAATGACTGAGCAGACTGGGAGTTATTTATCCTCTGATTCTTTTAAAGTAAGTAAAATAAACATATTATTGAGTAGTTTTAAGTCAGTTGAGTGTATTAGCTTTCTGGGTATGTTTTGTGTATGAGAAATACAGGCTGATACAAATTCCTAGAAATTAATCATTTAACATGTGGCTTTTATGAACTCTGCCAACCCTATCATTTACAAGACTTCAAGAGACCAGTTGTCACCATAGTAACCCATTACATCAGTATCTCCTAGGTAACTGAACTAGTAACAAGTAAGATTGCTTCTATTGTGGGTAGAAGAACAGATCGTGTGAAAAATCGATGAAATGAAATATGTAAACCCTATTCCCATTGTTTTCCTTTTCACTCAAATGAAAAAAAAAAAAAAAAAGGGCAAAAGAAAAGACCCCAAACCCAGCCCCACTGGATTTTGTGCTTTGGAAGTGAGGGGCACCCCGGGGCTGCTGAGCACAGGACTCTTACCAGCAGATGGTGCTCTGACTACTTCGTTTTTGTGCCATAAAACAAACTTCAAGAGCAGTAGGTAGCACAGCAGTTACACGCTTATCTTTAACTCCGGGGCACTAGGTGTTGCACTGTAAAAATTGCACTGGAGAACTCTAATCCTGTGAGTGGCAGGATAAAATGAACACAGAGCCACCAAAAAAATGCCAGAAGGCTGCGCCGACTTCAACAGCGCAAGTTTACACGCCCTCAAAGCACCAGCAACAAGAAAGCTTTATTCTGGCATGCACAATTTGAATACGTGCAACAACTGCACCTGGCCTACCATATTGCTAAATTTCAAAAATTATGGTGACCTTTCTGTTCACAAAACAGTTGTGGTAAAGTTTTCCATTTTATTTCAACTAATACTCCACCTACACAAGTATCAATCGTACAAAAGAACTTCTTTTCTTTTCCTCATTATTAAGATGAACATCACTACCACTTACCAGAAGCAGATCAACGTCCTCAGACTGAGTGCATAGGAAAGGAGCATTAAAAATTAGTGAATATAAATATTTACCAGGATGCAGATTTCTAGCCAAGGGAATAGCTTAATCTGATAGGGGCAGCAAATTAAACACTTTCTGAGCATAGTTTGGAAAGATAACACTTCATAGATCTCCTCTTTGTCCTTCTAATGGGATGTTTGTTCCAACTGCAAGGACAATCTATCCAGTTTTCAAAACAAGACTTCCTCTAAGGATTCATTATTTCTTCCACAGCCCCAGTGGCTGCAGACTGTGTTGCTATACCTGGTTTCAGGAGACCTGACCATTCACAGAATCCCTTGGAAAGTATCAGTTTTAAGGACCTTGGAATAAATCATTTGATGCAGACAGCCTGTCACTGCCTTGGTCGACTTTGAGCATTGCCCCGTAGGAGACTATTTGTTACTTATCCTCTCAGAAGGCAGCATCACATTTATGGGGGGTTTTAGTTTGATGTTCAAAGTTAATTTATTATGCGTCAAGCTGAAGTAGCCAGCCTGGAAGTTGTTTTAATAGTGTCGGTTACATAATGGAAAAATGTGTTTATAGTGTCACTTAAATTTACCATCATGATCCTTTTAAAATTAAGCTAACTTTTAATGTTAAATCACTCATGAAAGATTTACTTGCAACACTAACCGACTTTCGGAAGGGAACTACAAGATACGCATACGACATCTTCACAATTCAACCTTCTAGCATAATAGCCTGCCTAAGTTTTGTTAATCCTGGCAGGAGATACAGCAATTTCCTTTTTATCCTGCTCTATCTATTTACTACCTACCATTTATCGTTACAAAATTTGGCCTTTGGAGCTCAGAGTGATAGAGTTCAAATTCATTTATTTGTAGTTAATCTGCCATCTGCTGAGAGTCTGTGTGGCTAAATATTTATGAAAAACACAATAGGTTAGGAATACTCAGGGTTAAATTCAGCCTTTATAACAAATCCAGGAAAGGCTTTTCCAGCTACTAGGAAAGAGAGTGCAGAAGTTTAGACTGTGCAGGACACAGTTTCTATTTTGCAACTCAATAGAAAAAAGGGAGGAAGTAAATATGACTTCATAAAAGCACTTGAACAGGCTCTGCCTACATCCTCAGCTCGATGTCAGACCTTAAGGTTAGGCAGAAAGACCCAACAAACAAGAATGTTGAATGTTATTCTGCTGATTTTAGTTGCTTGAGCAGGCCTTGAAATTCCTAAATATCTCTTATCTGAAGTAGATAAAAAAAGCTTTGAAAATGCATTACCACTGATGGCATTGTATTCTTGCTGCCAGGTGGAATAAGCACACGGAGATCTGGTTTACGGTTGTTCATTCCCAAATTCATTGGAGGTGGAGATTTTGCTTGCATATTCTTGTTCAAGTTGCCAGGTGAGACCAGCAGACCTGGTGAGTTGCGGGGGTTGCCATATCCATTTCCTGTTTAGGTTAAAAAAAAGAAAAAAAGAAAAGAAAAAAGACAGAATGATTATAAACTCCGATGTATTTCTTAAGACTGAACACTAAAAATGTCAAGTAAAAAAAATCAACGTAAATACCTGTGTCATGTAATGTATCTTTATAGGAAAGACTATACTTAGGAAAGACTATAGTTAGGAAAAACTTCTTTACTGAAAGAGTGGTCAGGCCTTGGAACAGGCTGCCCAGGGAAGTGGTGGAGTCGCCATCCCTGGAAGTATTTAAAAGACGTGTAGATGTGGCGCTTAGGGACATGGTTTAGTGGGCATGGTGGTGTTGGGTTAACGGTTGGACTTGATGATCTTTAGAGGTCTTTTCCAACCTTAATGATTCTATGATTCTATGATTCTATGATTCTATAGGAAAATACAACACGTGCCGATTTGGAACAAATGGTCTGAAAATGCTTTCTCTCATGGCAGTCTCAGTGACGTGCTGAAATTAACTTGTTTATACCACACTGTTTACAGTACTATGGTATATAGCACCATATATGCGCACTCAAAGCAGCCAAGATCTAACGTTTGCCTTACAAGAGAATCAGGAAAGTCAGACAATCTTACGGCTTAAAAAAATGTCAAAGCTATGCTGTGTTTTCTCGACAACTACAGAGGATTCTGCCTTGCCTGACTCAGCCCTTTCCAGGTCATGATTTTGTTTTGTTTTTAAACAAAGGATGAGTATAGCAAGGCTATAATTTCCAGAAAAGGCAGTGGGAGGACTAGGAAGATTTTTAAATGTTTTTGGCTCTCTTTCACCACACTTTTTGGACCTGATTCTGTCAACACTAAAGTCAATGGGAGCAAGAGCATAACCTTATTTGGAAAATACCACTGTTATCTTTCATCTTCATCTCTCTGCTGCTTTCTGCAGGCCCCAGGAACAATTCTGACAGGCAAATGCTTCATTTGTCTTTTTCAGGAATGGGTTTCCTTCTCTCACCACGTAGTACTGACAACTGTATATCCGTTAAGGTTACTGACCTACCATTCCACTAAAAATGAGACCTTCCTATTTCATCCACCTAATTTCACCTCTTACCCACACAAAGTCTGGGGAAAGAGATGACTTTTTAGTGTAGCCTTGAAATTCTGTCTGCACAGGCTCAAGAGAGACGCAGAAACTGCCCAGTCATAGAGAGGGAATAGCATGAAAACTAGTACAGAAAGAGAAAACGTTCACGGATAAATACCAAGAAAACAAATGCTAGGGGAGGCTTTCTGTTCTGTGCTCATCTTTTGTTCACAGCTTGCAAGCAGCGACATACAACCTAGAAATAATGTGGGAAGATGAGCTAGTAAGTGTGGCAGAGCCCTATGAGTTAGAAGCCCTGGATCTTCAAATTTCCTTTGTAGTCCCAAAGTCAGTGAAGAACTCAGTATCTCACTTTTTTTCGCACGTGAAATGGGGTTTACAGCCCTAAAGGACATAAATGGATTATGGAACTAAAATTGATAAAATCTATGAGGTGGGCATAAAAATGACAACACATGAGAGTGATTCTGTCTTCTAGTTAGGATAATGAAGTGTGTCCAAGCATGACTAACATTATATCATATTTTTAATCCACAAGGATGTCAGCCAATTGTATTTATCAGATCAGCAAATCCATGGAAAAAAAAAAAAGTATCTGTCAAAGACTATTAAATACAAAAACACCACTTCGAGCTCTGGAAGACCCTGAACTGTGAACACTATGCTTAGGACACAGGAAAAGTATCACAAAGTGCTTGACTTCCATATTTGTGAGATACCTTCAATCATAGGTCTGGCCTGGCTTGTTTATTCTCGTGCTTTTTATTATCATGATCTCCCAAGCCTTTGCAGAAAGGAATTAAGATGAAAATTTAGAAGCACTCAGGTCACTTCAGAGATTTTATATTAAAATACTTTTCATAGTTAATCTTGTTGTTTATTTCCTTAATAATATCTTACTGTTAGTGAGATAGAATGAGTTAATGAAAAAAAAGTGTATTTTACACTTACCAAGCTAAAATAGCAGAACACTCTCAAGAATTTTCCATTTTGTGTCAGTAGGCTTTTTTTTAAAGGAACCATTGCTCTCAACGTAGATTTGCTACATATTATGCTCTAATTAATGTTATGTGTTACTAGAGACGGCAAAATTAGAAGGGGCATTTTGAATATACAACAATATTTTCTTCTAGAAACTACAGTGCCTTTTAAAAGTTATCTCTTACAAACTGAATACCAAAAAACTAATGACGTGGAGAAGTGATTAATAGAAGAAACAGAAGCAAAAGTAGAGTTTCTCTGGTGCTGGTTTCATACAGGAGCTATTTTACCAACACGAAGTAAGACTGCCTTGTGAAATCTGTTGTATGACAAGCATTTGTTCAGAGAGTGAAAATGAAGCTGTTTGAAGAAGCAGTGCATTTTTTTTTTTAGTTCTACAACATACAACCTAAGATATTTAATGAAACAGCATGCACTGTAATCTATATGTTTGTTTCTACAGTTGTGATTTTTGGAGAATAGAAACCCTTACAAGAAAGAACTCCCATTTTCTATGTAAGATTTACTTAATACAGTTTACTATTAAAAATTAAGAGAAAGAATGCATCTGTATAAAACTTTACTCTTCAGAAACTTTTGTCTGACCTTTATATTATTTACCTACTGATGTAAAATATTTTGAACAGTGATAACATTTCTTACATTTATATTTTTAGAACATCAAATTATTTTTAAGAACTGCTGCAATCTTCTCTTTACCAGTAGATTTCTGCTGTTCATGGCATATTATGCCAGCTAGCATTTTGGAGCCATATAATAGCCATTCCTCTTTCCAGCCACCAAATTGTTATTCTTTTTGGTATAATGTGTATTCAGGAATGTAAGACTGTGGACCTTAAACCAATGATACAGAAACCCATCATTTGAAAATCAATGATGAATGCATGCATGCGGTTTACAGTTAAGAAGACTCTGCATTTAAACCAGCTCTTTAAACCGTATTCTCTGTACTCAGAAAGCTGTGGCCTGCTCTGAGGCAGCTGTCCCACCTTCAGATAAATCCACCGAAGAGAATGGCCTCATTTACATTCAGAGGCAAAAAAAATGTATAAGACTTCTAATATACAAATTAAACCTTCCTTCATCTTATACTTTAAAATTACACTCTGCCTGGACAATTATCAATTTAGATGTGACTGTATGCAGAACGTCGCATTCCACTATCCACTTGAAAGCGCAAAAATTATATGTCATGTATGAATGGATTTCCTGATTATAGATCATAAGAAAATGAAAACCAGATGGATTTTAGAGCAAGTTGGCTTTACATTTTTATTTGGTTAAAAGCCATATTTTCATTGGAATAAAACATTTTTAAACATTACGGATATAACTTGTAATGTATAATGAAAATAAAACAGTAGATACACAAGTTTTAAAGGGCATATGTCAGAATTTGTAAATTTACAGCATTTTCAACTCAAGAAGGTTTCAGAGAAAATTATTTTTCCTCGTGTTGTTTTTTATACTGACTTGAAAGAGTAAAAATATTTTACACAGAAAAGATCTTGTTTCTAGACAGAAGTAGTGGAGCAGCACGTGTCATGAAATGCAGTGCCAGACTTTGTATTTGGACTAATGGCAGAATATAAAGACAAATGCTTTCTGAGCATAGAATGCTCTTCTTGGGCATGTTCCCACACTTTGCATTTAGGCACAAGTGCCATTGACTTTAGAAGGAATTCTGTCCAAGTACAGACTGCATGATTAATCCCTGCAATATCATTTTTTAAAAACATCCAGAAAAGTTACTTTTGTGCACTAGTAGTTAGTCAGTCATGAAGAATTCTTAAAAAAAAATTCATTTACTGATCGAAAACTACAATTTGAACTATGTTACAAATTCACCTACTACTATCTTAAATGGTCACTTCCATGTTTTAAGAATTTAAGGGTACGAGTAGGGCACAAGCTTATTCAGGACAGGACAGAGATCAAAGTTTACTTCTCTTCTTTCATCCCCAATGAGTAACACCTGTACCTTACATGTAGTTTTGGTCATTGGTGTTACAGTGGCTGCAAAGTGGCTGCAATTCCTGATATTCTCAGAGTTAGGGCAATAATTCTGTACTGAGCATTTAAGCCAGGAAACTTTCCACGTGTTAAGGTAACACAAATGAGGAAAGAGTAATTTATTTCCATATCTCTCAACATTCTTGAGCAGTATTGTCATGATTCAAAGTCTTTAAGTCTTGAAAAATTGGAAAATTTTTGTATTTTGATTTCCTGAAGCTTTGAACCTGTCATGTCTCTACTTGTTTCTTTTTAATTTGTGATTTCAAAGATACAAAATAGCACTGAATGAAAAAACCTCTACGGTAGTCCTAGAAGAATGAAGAACAAGACACACAATTTATATGTCCATTCTTTGATCTCTCTTTCATTTACTCGAATGCTTTTCACTGACCATATGGGTTGAGAATTTACAAGATCTTTAGGACCCTGGGATGCCTACCTCCCATTAATTTTAATAGGAAAAGAGCTTTCAAATTCTCGAAGGAGTTTCAATAAATATTAACGGTCATTTCAAGTTTCCAACAAGTGTATGCTCTTATGGAAATTATCATAATTCTCCCGAGAAGAATATGTACATTCCATTTCATGGAGGATTCCTGCTTCTTACTGGGTTATGTTAAATGCACATCCCATATATATGACATTATGACCGACCATCAAGTCTCTCAAAAAGAATGTTAAATTTAGAATGAATCTATATAAACATGAGAGCCAACTATGCTACAATTTACCTCCACTTCAAAATGTATGTATATATAAAAGAATCAATGCAGTAATAGAAATTTTGCTAAGTTTACACCCTGTTTTGCATTTTTCACTCAGTTCCTTTTCCCACTTTCTGGAGGAATGGTAATTGTTCCTAACAATAATTAAAAGGCAATGAAAGGGTTCCTTTTTGCTTTTACATC